GTTACTAGCATTTTTTGTTGTTCTCTTCTTCAGGAGCCTACCTTCAAATTTTGTTGCAAGCATTCCCTAACACCCTGTATACATTTCTCTACAAGAATTTATCTTTTTTGAACATGTTGTAAGTTTCTTGTTTCAAAAGAAGGCTACACGTATGATGAAAAAAGACAAACAAATCTGTCAAATGAAATAAAGCATAACGTTAATCACATGATTAAAAGTACAATACAAACGGGCATTTCAAATCGAATAACTACAAAATCGAAAAAACGAAATATTGCAAATTCGAATTACTGGAAATTGAAAAATTGGAAAATCGAATAATTGGGAAATCCAAAAACTGCAAAATTACAAAAAATTGAAAATTGGAAAATCGAGGAATTGAAAAATGAACAATTTGAAGAATGAAATAAACGATCGAAAAATTGTGGTGCGGCCGTGGTGAATTTCGAAATAAAAGAAGTGGACTGTATTTTTGTATTTTATTGTCCACACAGCTGGACTGCTACCTAACGAATGACAAAAAGAATCTTATACAAAATAAGAGAGGGGACTTGTCCGTCCACCCCTTATGGCACGAGCCACAGATAGATGCGGCCGCCAAGGTCCGCCGCCGACAAAAGCAAGCCGACAAGGTGCGGCCGCCGGATTGCTGCTGCCCGACAAAGAGTGCCGCCGACAGGGAAGCTGTCGGTGACACAAGCCGTACCAAATTGTAAAATCGGAAGAAACATTGAAAAAATAAAGGAAATGAAACGAAAAATCTTGAATATAATCTAGAAAATGAAAAAGTTACAAGTTTTTAAGATTACGTAAGCATGGTAAATCATTAATCAAATTTTTTTCGTTTATGGCCTCTTAAAAGACGATCACGTTATTTTATAATTTTGTAGAACAAATGTTTCTCAAATTTAATAGAACTAAGTACTCCATGTATGGTGTAATTTAGAATTCGTGGTGAGTTTTTACCCTAGATATCGAGATTATTGGAAAATAAATCAAAATTATTTTTTACAATTTAACTTGAAAATTGCAAATGCGAATGTACTGATATATTGCAAACGTTTTAAGGTTACAGGAAAGATGATAAATCGTTATTCAAAATTTGTTCGTTTAAGGCCTTACTAACAAATTATAACGTCATCTTAGAATTCCGCCGAACAAATGTTTTTTAATTTTATAAAATAATATATTGCTGCATGTGTGATTTATGAGTCCGTGTTGAATTTTTACCCTTATCATCCAGACTAAAAAAAATTAACATTGTGTCACAATATTTTACAATGTAACTTTGAATTTGCAAAATCCGAATGCTGTGAAATCCTGCAAAAATTTTAAGATGATTTGAAAGATGGTAAATCGTCATCTTACATTTCTGCCTAATTTCTTCAAATTAATGAGTCTTTTTGAAAAAAAAAAAAAAACTGAATATGAGGACACAAAATCAACCGAATTTCATTTTCTTTTAATTGTTGATGTTAGTGCTAGTAGTCGAATTCGGTCGAAGTATAAACATAAACAGTCGAAGTTAAGAATATACTGATAGTTATCTGCTTTAAATATATCTCATACTCTATAGAACAGTTATCACAAAACGAAAATCCCAAAATCTAATTTTTATAATTTTTTAACGAAGCGGAATTTATCGGACCATACTTCAAAGGCGAGGGAAGTTCTGTCAAAATGACCTTTTTTTTCCTGGCTTTGTTTTTCTTAGTAGCGTCGTCAAAATTCCATAAACAATATAATTATAGTAGTAATGATAATACCCAAACAACATCTGTATACAATACCACAGGGCCCCACTTTGTAAATTTCCCGGTAGACCCCCATGTCCTCAATCCGACACTGTACTAATAGTTCATTTTTGGCATTTAAACTGACCTATCAATCTCCATATCGAGAGAAAGGAGCTTGAAAATTTGCGGTTAGTTTCATACCTTCGTGGACTCGAAAAACGGAAAGGTTTAATATTTTCTTCTTGCGTCTTAAATTTGTTTTCATTGTTTCAAATTGATGATAAAGTGTGACGTAATTTAATCTAATGTATACACGGTTTCTAGTTAAAGTTTTGTCATTGCATAAATAGATGTTGAAAGTGAGATTTCATGGAGAATCAACAGTTTTATTTTTAAAATTATCTCTAACAATAACACATTTCATATTTATTAATTTTTAACGAGTTTATATTTAGACATACTCGAGCTCAAACAGCTGATTATCTGTCAACCATTTAGTAAAAACATCAACAGGAGTGCCTGCTTGAAATCTTGATTCATAAATATCAACAACAAACTTCGTATCTCCACTGACTATAGTTTTGTCAGATTCGATGCGCCACTGTTGGTTAGGGCCACCATGTTTTTGCGAATACGTAATGACTTTGTTTCCTGCAGCGGCTCCACCATTTATGTCGAGTACGTACCTGAAGTACACGCAAGTAAAAAATGCAAAAATCTTACGTAAGAAAGCGCCAAAATAAAAACTTACCCAGTCCCGACATTGGTAATTATGAATTTTCCACCATCGATGCATTCCATTTTCCAGAGTTGCAAAGAACTACCACTGTATGTCTGGATTGTAACCTGGGCGCTGGTACCGCTTACGGTACCATCTAGCACAAGTCTGGATTTGACGTTTCTTATAATAAAGGCTTTGTTGTGTTGAATGCAACTCATTTTGACAAAGTGAATAGGTGGTGATGGAAGCGAACTTGAAATTTATATAGAGGTACTTTATCTCAACGAGTTCTATTTTGGGTGTAGACGATAAATGTGTAGTTGTATTTTCAACATCGAAAGATTAGATTTCTCTTTGTTCGATGTTATCAATATCATTAAGGTTTTTCCGTAAACAAAACTTTAAAAAGAACACAAAAAAGTATCTATTGCATTTATTAATGAAGATAATTGTTTTAGCAATACTTTAATGAATCATAAGTATCAAACAAACAATGGAACAATAAATTATTGCACAAAGGTTGTTCACTACTACTATTAAATAAAAGTATTCCGAAAGTCATTATTCCGATTCTTTGGAAGATTCTTCCGTTACATACTTGAATAAAAACTTTGAAACTGCAAAACCAAATGCTCTGAAATCTTCAAACGTTTTAAGGTTATTATAATCATGCTAAATCGTTCATCAAAATTTATTCGTTTACCTCCTCCAAAAAAAATTACCGATTTAAATTTGTCTGAAACATGCAAAATATCATCACTCTATAAGGTTTATCAATGCACTCCGACTATTTTTTTGATATCACGATTTCCCGTTTTTCATTTTCTTTATTTTTTTAATTTTTCCGTTTTTCAATTATTTATTTTCATAATTTTTTTGTTTTTACAACTTTAATTTTTTTCAATTTTTCAATTTCTTGACTTTTAATCGAAAAATTGGAAAAACGAAAAATCGAAAGAATTAAAGTTGAAAAACCACGAAATTATAGAATCGAAACACTGAAAAATCAGGAAGTAAATGGAGAGCACTTTGAGCATCTTTTGTAGAAAACAGAAGTTTAATTTTGGTTTCGGTTGTTATTGGTTAATTTATTAATTGTTTAATGTTAATTAAAATTAATAATAATTATGAACTTATTTAATCTGTTTAATAATTTATTTTGACATTTCATTCAGAAAGAAAGTACGATTATATTATAAATAAATGAATTCAGGAAAAAAACTCTATTCAAAAATGCATTCATGCCATTTATAAAAAATCAAGTTGGTCTTGCATTTCGAAAACAAATGAAGCAAACAAATTTTTTTTGACGATTAATTAGAGCAAAACTTTTTGTACTCCTATACCTAATTTCTGTTGATTCGTACAATTGGTTCTCAGAATACTGTTACGAAAGAAGTCCTTACGCCGCCCCGGTGGGACGCCTATGAGTCTTCTAGTATGTATGTGTTTATTGTTGTATGTAAGGCGGTGATGACTCATCGGCCGGCTGACGAAAAGCTTGGAAGCGGAAGTGGCGATGGACAACCCAGAAAACACTCGAAGCGGCGTTCTCGAACCATCCGTCGGGGACGATTATTATTTAGTCAGTAAGTCGAGTCCACTGAGCGAATTCATTAAGTTTTTAAACATCCGTACAACGTAACAATATTTAACCGTTTCCATGCATTCTAGCGATCTTGTATGTTCACAAACTTTATTTTAAATATAATCTAACTTACAATAAAGGATGGACAAATGTCCTCAGCAGAAATTGATGATGGGCTGTTGCATTGTTGGTCCATACAATTATGTTTTTTTTTTCTGCTTATACACGCAAAGAAAAGGTTTAATTTTCCCGTTAGTCACTAGGGACTAACAATGTGAACAAAGAACAATGTGTAAAGACAGTGATAAATAAAAATTCAAGTCATAAAATAGGTTCTGGGTATTCATGTACAGATTGTGCAAATTTTACAGTGCAAATAGATAAATTGAAATATATAGCATTTATATTTATGTATATATAATAAGCTGACAATGCGAAAACATACCGCCTTCTGATAAATTTATATTTGTCCACTATTCACACCGCTTACGTTTAAAAGTGACCTTAGTTTGTCGTAATCACACGGAAGAAATTTGAAAATAAATTAAACATGACACATATTGTTCGAAAAATCGAAAATCCCAAACCCCACTCACATTGTGCATAAGTACATATATAAGTATAGTAAAAAATGTGACGTCAAACTGCTTAAACAGGCGTTGCGATAGGTGGCGGCCAGCCAGCTAGTCGTGTGGGTGGGTTTCCAAAAAAAGCAAAATTATTAGGGCGCCACGAGTTCGTTATAACGCCGATATCGCAATCGTCTAATCCTGTTTTGCCTCCCCAAACTCGAAAAGAGCAGCTAGCAACCCGCAATGAGGGGAAAAAAAGAACAAATTTATATCTGCAGTCTATATTGTACGGTAAACAGGAAAAAAAGAGTCTAGTTCAATGATGATAATGACAGATAGTGTTTCTAAAATATAATCCAAGAAGATCCAAAAAAAAATCGATAAAGCTTATCGAAGACCAAAAAAAACAGTGAAAGTTGTACAAGGGTGAAATTGTTACGTTGTGAGATTGTCACACAATGAGTGAAACGTAAGTCAATATCAACTAAATGCATAAACAAATAAATAAGACCAAGTTGTTATTATATTTCGCGCACTTTATCGTCAACCGATGTTCGTGAACGTACCTTATATCAAACGCAGAGCGTATCAGCTGAGTCGAACGGCGTCTTATCAGTAACGTGATATGAAAATAAGCGATAACGCAACCAACCAACAAAATAGCGCTCCCAAAATAACAACCGGTGCACAAGTTATACCACAGTGAGGTGAAGCCCCAACTGCAGGACTACAATAATTAGGTAAGTTACACAAGAAAACCTAAATAAAAAAAAAAAAAAAAAGGTGTATAAAATCGACAATGGCACACAAAAAAAAATGCCAAAATTAAACTGTTACAACGATGTTATGGTATTATCGTAATATACGCTCGCACGATCGTAGATAGGATGGTATTCCGGGTACTTATCGTTCCGGTGTCCTCCACGTCACCTTCAGCTAGATGGAAGGGTTCTCCTCAAAAAGGATTCGGGAATCCGAATTTAAGTCATAATCGAGCAATCACAGCAAGACCCCGAAAATCGTGGCTCCAGGAGCTGCTGAATTTTCCTTTAGCGTCCCGGCAATGAAGCACCAACCGAAGGGAACTTGGTGGAAAACTCCGGGTGAGTAGTACACTCCAATAATAAAAGCCTAAAAAAACGAAGTTCTAGAAAATTCGCCAGGAAATTGACAATGGGGCACAAATTGGTTCATCGACGAGAAAAGTTGAAACTGTGAGAATATTTGATCATTTTACCTCTGGATGGGCGAGGCTGCTTTAGATATTGAGGGTGTGGTGGCGTCCAAAAAAAATCCAACAAACGTTGCGTGCTTTGCAAGCACCTTTTCCTCCGGTTTTTTCCAAAATCCTACACAATAAGTCGTTTGAGTAAGACCTTAGCGACAATTACTTCAAGCAATTTCACAAATCTAAACTTTTAGGTCTCTCAAAGCTGAAAATTCCGGGAACAGAATTCGCACAACCACACAAGAAGGTTAGCAAAAATCTAACGGATGAAGATATTTTCTTTTTTGCCTAAAAAAAGTGATCCGTCATCAGCAGAAGCCTTCCCGCCTTTTTAGGAACCAATTAGAATTGAGTTTATTTTCGACAAGATGGTGTCAATTCCGGTGGCGCTGTTGTTCAGTTCGAGTCAAAAATCCCTATTTCAGATGACAAGGCGACAGGGTTGCCAAAAGATGATGACGTGTTTTGTTTACAGTAACCTCAAATGGTGAACAACATAAAAGGTTTGCGAGGGACGCTATTCTGGCATAAATGTAATAAGTGTAAACTATGATGGAATGTTTAATAAAACGGTATCCTATTTTTATGCCGTTACAAAAAGTACCATGAAACTGTTTCCCATAATCACCAATGGATTTTTAACACAGTCTCTCTTGCATCTAAAACAAGCCACTTCTTTCGTTTCTAATAATAGTGTAGTTCTGGCTCATGATAGCGGCAGGTAGTACCGAATAATAAACGTAAAGAGCAAGAAAAGAGCACTTATGCTCAACTCTATTTTAGTTTCGCTTTCTTTTAGAGAAAATTTCGGGTGATTTACGAACATTTTTTTTCTGAACAATAACTAGCTTTAAAGTTGTATTTGTAGTCAAATTTTATTTAAGTCATGAAATAGATAGAACATATGCAAAGTAGTAGGTACATGTTAACCGGTTTTCCCAATGGCGAACCTCTGATTAAGTCTTCCATGTCTAGACCACACTTTCAATTTATTCAGCATTGTTACGTCAAGTCCTAAATGTGTACCAGGGCTAGTAATAGTTCCATCGGAATTAAGGTTCCACCCACCCACTCCGGTCTCAATTGTGATGAATTTTAATTTAAGTCTTCCAGTTTTCCGATTTTACAACTTTCGAACGTTTCAATTTTTAGATTTTGCAGTTTTTCGATTGGAAATTTCACGAGTTTTGAATTTTGAATTTTTTAATTTTTGCATTTTTCAGTTTCGCGAGAAAAACGAGAAAGCACAAGTTATTCTACGTGGCTTACATTAGGAGTACAGTCCAAAATTATTGAATAATACATACATATATTGACACTATGTTTTTTATTATAATATCTCTTGTTCTTTGTGCCAAAACATTTTTCTATCCACCCCGATCTCAATTGTGATGCGTTTTTCATTCCTAATCAGACCGAGGGGCGGAGTTTAATTATTGTAACATGAAAATTTCTATAGAAAATTCTACCCTTTTAAAAGCATGTTTCATATAGTAATTTCTTGTAGAGAAACGAGGATTTTGCAACTAAGCTCCACCCTCTGGCTTACGACGAATAAAAAAATTCATCAGAATTGGGAAGGGGTGGGTGGGCGGGGCTTATATTTTGCCCATTTTTTTCTTAATATACGAAGTCTTTTTTCACAACAAGAAACTAAAAACATGCGAACTATCCTGTTTTTGAAAGCAAACGCTTTATAGAAATAAAAAAAAAAACAAAAATTAAACCCCACCCACCCACCACTGTCTCAATTGTGATGAATTTTTTATTCGTTGTTAGACCGAGGAGCAAAATATACATTTCTCTACAAGAATTTATCTTTTTTGAACATGTTGTAAGTTTCTTGTTTCAAAAGAAGGCTACACGTATGATAAAAAAAGACAAACAAATCTGTCAAATGAAATAAAGCATAACGTTAATCACGTGATTAAAAGTACAATACAAACGGGCATTTCAAATCGAATAACTACAAAATCGAAAAAACGAAATATTGCAAATTCGAATTACTGGAAATTGAAAAATTGGAAAATCGAATAATTGGGAAATCCAAAAACTGCAAAATTACAAAAAATTGAAAATTGGAAAATCGAGGAATTGAAAAATGAACAATTTGAAGAATGAAATAAACGATCGAAAAATTGTAAAATCGGAAGAAACATTGAAAAAATAAAGGAAATGAAACGAAAAATCGTGAATATAATCTAGAAAATGAAAAAGTTACAAGTTTTTAAGATTACGTAAGCATGGTAGATAGATAATTTATTGGTGTTAAAAACAAATTGTTTTACACAGGTCATTAATTGCTTAGGCTACCTAGTTACATATTTAAACAATTGAAATCTTTACATTTTAGATATTCATCAAATGTGTAAAAACATTTAGTTGTAAAAAAGCTCTTAAGTTTACTCTTAAAGATACTTAGTGGTTGGTTTCGGAAGTTAGTAGGTAAAATGTTGTAAAATTTGACAGCAACGTATCTTGTCCCTGTTTGTGCCCTAGTTAAACGTGTGTAGAAGGGAATTAGGTAATTTTTATTTCTGGTGTCATGAAAATGAGACCCAGTGGAATTCGGGAATTTATTTATATGTTCTTTGACGAAAACTAAGCAGTGGTAGATAAACAGTGAAGGTAGAGTTAAAATATTGAGAGAAACGAACACTGATTTGCAGTCAGCACGATACTCAAGACCAGTTATGCTACGTGTGGCTCGTCTTTGGAGAGCAAAGATTCTATGACGAATGACAGAGTGTCCCCACACTATTATTTCATATTCCAGCAGAGAATGAAAACGGGCAAAGTATGCAAGTAATGTTGTTTTTAGGGATACATTTTTCCTAAGTTGACGAAGTAGAAAGATGTTTTTACTTAGTTTTTTTGCCAGTTTATCCCCGTGAGGTTTCCAAAGAAGTTGGTCATCGATGGTAATACCAAGAAATACCGTGTCTTTGCTATAGCTTGAATTTGTTGGGTTATCTCTGTTCAGTGTGAAAAGCATATTGACTGATTTGTCGGTGTTCATGCTTAGTTTGTTGCTGTTGAACCATAGTTTAGCTTTCGATTGTACCTCCAAATTCTTATCTTCACATTCTTCAAGAAAATCACCTCTGTTTAGTATAGTGGTGTCGTCGGCGTATAAAATAACTTTCGAATTTGTTAAATTAGACGGGAGGTCATTAATAAAAATTAAGAAGAGAAGTGGGCCTAATATAGATCCCTGCGGGACACCACACGTAACAGGAAGATAGCTAGAAGACGTTTCCCCCATAGTGACTTTTTGAATTCTGTTTCTAAGATATGATGATATGAGACGAACACTCTCTGGGTGCAGATTATAGAAATAGAGTTTTCGAAGTAGTAGCGAATGGCACACACAGTCGAAGGCCTTGGTCAAATCTAAGAAGGATGCTGTCGCATAAGTACCTTCGTGAAAACAGTCCGTGATCTCGTCAACGAGATCTATAAATGCTTTTGATGTGTTTAATCCGGACCTGAAGCCAAACTGATTGGAACAGATTAAATTATGTTTCTCAAAATAGCCACTCAATTGCACCATAAGAATGTTTTCCAAAATTTTAGAAAAAATCGGAAGAAGCGATATTGGACGATAATTACTACTGTCGCTAGGGTCACCTTTTTTAAGAATTGGGATAACATTCGCAACCTTTAGGCAGTCAGGGAAGGTACAGGTTTTAATACAAGTATTAATTAATTTTGTGAGGGGGGATAAAATAATATCTCTGATAGTTTTGATTATTTCGACACTAAACCCATAGACGTCTCTAGATTTGCTGTTTCTCAATTTATTAATTACTTCTCGAACTTCGGCACAAGATATTTTCCTGAATTGAAAATACGATACATCACTATTACAGTCACTACACATTAAAAATAAGGGTCATAATTTGAAGGAGGTATTTTGCTGGTTATATTCCTAGCAATGTTACAGAAAAAAACATTGAAATCATTGGCATTATATTACGAGTCTCGTTCTTCGAGATTACATCGTAGTACCGCTACTTTGACTAGATCCAACCACAAGCTTTAGAGAATAAATTTAAAATTTCGGCTTCCCGCCGCCTGCTCCTACGCCGCACCCTAGCGGCTAATCGCCATAACGTTTTTTGTGCTAGAATAAACCACATGTTTGAGGATTTAATTCTATCAAGAAATTAATTGTTTATTCAAGAATTATTGTCCTTTATTGTTTTTCAGACGAAAATTACAGTAAGATCATGGGGAAAAAACGCAGCAGAGAAAGAGGAGGAGAGCAATTGCGAGAAGCGGATTAAGAGGTTAGAAAGAGTGGTGCAGTGTCTGACGGACACATTTATAAAATCACTCGATAAAAATAACACGACGTCAGGACTCTATAGGATGAGACCTTGACGGGCGTCTAGGCTGGTGAATTTTGCACGTAGGAGGCAATAACAACCAGTGCATAAAATTTTCAGCTGCCATTTGGGGAAAAATTAATGAATTATTTGAGACCTTGACGGGCGTCCAGGCTGGTGAATTTTGCACGTAGGAGGCAATAACAACCAGTGCATAAAATTTTCAGCTGCCATTCGGGGAAAAATTAATGAATTATTTGAGACCTTGACGGGCGTCCAGGCTGGTGAATTTTGCACGTAGGAGGCAATAACAACCAGTGCATAAAATTTTCAGCTGCCATTCGGGGAAACATTAATGAATTATTTGAGACCTTGACGGGCGTCCAGGCTGGTGAATTTGGCATGTAGGAGGCGATAACAACCAGTGCATAAAATTTTCATCTGGCATTAGGAGAAAAATTAATTAATTATTTGAGACCTTGAGGGGGTCCAGGCTGGTGAATTTTGCACGTAGGAGGCAATAATAACCAGCGCATAAAATTTTCATCTGGCATTAGGAGAAAAATTAATTAATTATTTGAGACCTTGAGGGGGTCCAGGCTGGTGAATTTTGCACGTAGGAGGCAATAATAACCAGCGCATAAAATTTTCATCTGGCATTAGGAGAAAAATTAATTAATTATTTGAGACCTTGAGGGGGTCCAGGCTGGTAAATTTTGCACGTAGGAGGCAATAACAACCAGTGCATAAAATTTTCATCCGGCATTAGGGGAAAAATTAAGTAATTATTTTTCCTTGCAGATGGAAATCAGGTTGACCCTGGTAAAGAAAATGAATCCGTCAATCCTCTAGTTGGGGGATCCCGGGTTCAAAGAGTCAGTCAGGTGTACCTCGGACTCAGACAAGATCCTCGAGGAGATCGCGCAGATGCAGGCTGAGGAAGAGGGCCTAGTAGTAAAGGATGATGCCCAGTCTACTGAGGCACCTGAGTCTAAGAAGCTAGATAGCGAGGTGGAACTGCTTCTAGGAGATGATCCAGGGGCTAAGAAAAAAGATCAAGTAGAGCTGCATGAGAGCTTGGTGTCGCGTTGGGCATCTTGGCTGTCTGACGGATTGCCGAAAGAGATTAAAGTCCAAGTAGTGGACAAATATTCTCGAAAGGGGAATATTTCTCTCGAGGCCCCAGAATTAAATGAAGAAATAGCAGCTACTCTGAACGAAACGGGTGCCAAGAGGGATCAGCTATTTATCCAAGAATAGAACTTAGCTGGT